AAAAAAAAAAAAAAAAAAAAAAAAAAAAAAAAAAATCATCAAGCAAGATACTGATATAACTTCCTATCCGAAGCATCTCTCTCCAAAAAATCCCTTTCAATAAGCGACTCAATCCGCTTCTTAATCTCTCCAGGATTCGCCAAAAACCTCGATTGCAACTGCTGAATCACTTCAGCAATCATATTATTATGATCCAAAACCCTTCTCGCTTTCATGATCCTCACAATCGCCGCCTCTATTTGCGGTTTCCGGTCCTCCTCCACCCTCTGCCGCGTCTCCATTTTCTCCGGCTCCTCCTTCACCGCCACCACCGTCCCAATCTTCACTTTATAAAACTTACTCGCAAACTTCTCGTTCACAAAAAACACATCATCTTCCAAAATCTCCTTACTCATCGGCTCCTTCCGAATTACGTTTTTACCCTTCACACACGCCATCGACTGCAAACACCGTTTCAAATCCACCGAGGGTATTTCCGTCATTTGCTCCACCTCCTTGTAACTCAACCGCTCTGACTTATTGAACAACATCAACACACACATTTGGTATGTCGATACGGTCAACTCGTGTTTTTGACTTTTACTGAAGTTCGCTTTGAGATCCGCGGTCCCCATGTTTGTTTGCCACGTCAGACGGCGCCCCGTGTGGGTCCCGAGGTAGTACGACTTGAATTTCTCGCAAATGGACGTGAGTTCACTCGGGAGGTTGCAACTTGCTCCCGGTTGACTCGGCCATGAACCCGTGGTCAGGACTTGAACCGTTAAGATCGGACCCGTGGGTAAGTCCGACCCGTGGGTCGCGTAGAAACCTTGAACCGTGTCTTGTGAGGTTTTCATGTCGGTGAACATTCCTTCTAGTTTTGAAGTGAATTGGTATCCGCATTCGGTTTTAAGCTTTAAAACTAAACTTTTTTCAGCATCATCGGATGAATCTTTTCCTGATAAAAGTCTTTTTGCTAAATGTTGTTTGTAATATTTTTCGAATAAATCTTTTTCATGTAAATAACGAAATAACATCATTACTTTATCGAGAAGAATCTCTACATCTTCTTCACTAACTCCCTTCAACCCTTTTCTCAACTTATCATCCACAAACAACGAAATAAATTCGGGTGATCTCGGGTTCAAATTTATAAAAAATTCAAACGAAGAATTCAACGAATTTTGGAACGTTTTATCATTGTTGAATGAAAACCCGATGATTTTATCGAATTTATCTTTTTCATTTAATAAACTTTGCACGAATTCAACCGGATCTTTTAACTTTTCGGGATCAGTCACGAGGTTTTTCCCGATGTCACGAAGATACGATGTCATCAGTTCGCGTATTGTATCGAGACCATGTGGGACCCGATGAAACAAAGTGTAAATTCTTTTTAAGTCGTCGTATTTGTCGTTGACCAACATGTTGACCAAACCCGAATTCTCCATGTGAACTAATCTTGTCATGTGATTCGCGATCATTTCCTTTTCGACTACATTCATTATCTTGATTTCGGTTTTTGAATCCAAATAATGTGACACTCGATCGATTTCTTCATTTAAACGTCTTTCTGCTTTCTGTAAATAATCCCCACATTCACAACACTCGATGAATTCTTGACTCTCGACCCGGTAAAAACCCGCGGATACTTCAAGAAACGGGGTTTCTAGATCCAATTTGTAAACAGAAGGTCCTAAATCTGTTAACATTTTGACTATGTTTCTCATGAGCCCACGGTTTATAATTTGACCCGTTCTTTCTGTGTGTATGAGTTGAAGAAGTGTGGTTTGAAGGCGGGTTTGGATCCCGGTGAGGTGGATCACATTATCCCGCCATAGATTCAGGCCGAGTTCATGGACAGGGGTTTTATGGCTACTGGGGACATAAGTTCTATCCATGTACATTAATATGTCACGAATCATTTGGAGGGCTTTGTTGTGATCAGTCCATTTGTTGTTAAGTTCTTCCAAGAACATTTCCCCATGGGTGTCTTGTATGGATTTTGACATGGAGGTTAGGTGGTGAGTCATGGTGGATACTAGTCCTGTGTAGAGTTTTTCCCCAAATTTGTGTAATACCATGTTGTATGCGTTTCTGAATTGGCATCAGGATTTGATATCAGAAAACTTATTGGAGTATATGATCTAGAGTGTGAGAATCAGTAATAAAAGTTTTGAAAAAAGATAACAGGTTATGGACAATGGACAGAGTATGCAATTAAGTTATAAATTGGATATGCTTAAGAATGGAGGACAATCAAAACAATTGAACCCTAGCAAGATGACTATTGTTTCTGTTAATGTATTCGGTTTCTAGTAGATAATTATTCTAACACCATTAAAGCATTTATAATACCTACTTACCTAGGAAGATTTATAGAGACGATTCTACTGGAAGCTATTAAGCCAAGCATAGATTGAAAAAAATGGAATGAGAAATCAAATGATGAACAAAATGGGACAACTTTCAGATTAGCATGTAATGATTCGGAAATTAACAGAGGAAACAAACCTGTAAAGCTCTTCGAAGCTAAGTCCACTGGCATTATGATTATAAATCTCATTTATGGCATGCTCGAGTAACCTCCATGTTTTATCAGCATACTTTGGATCAACAACAACTTTGTGCTTAAACGCCTCTATCTGAAAATTCCTCTTCTTGTGATTACTATTCATGTTAACGCGTTCGTAATCTCCAAACTTAAACCTCAAAATCGACAAGCCCTTTCTGTATAAACAGCTGTTTAATCGATTAGAAAATTAGACGTAGCGCATCAATCTGCAGGTGTTTGGTATAGATTCTGGAGCTAAAAATAGAGATTTGGTGAGGAGATTGAATCTAAATTAAGGTGTTTTAGATAGGAAAAGCGATGAGAAGATGATTCGTTGTGTTTCTAGGGTTTATGAAGGGAAGAATAAAGCGAGTGAAGGGTAAGATTGACAAGTACGTGAGACTCAAAATTGGGAAACAGCCATTGGAGGGCAAACACAAAACCCCGTAGCAAGGAAAATCTGTAGTATCGTTCCGATGGTTGCCTGCGATTTACTCTTGTCGGTGAAATTATAAAAAATGTCCCTATAAAAATGAACCGAGTATATTTTGCAGTTGCGCACAGCTGTTACTTTTTTTGCATTTTAAAAGTGTAGTTTTTAATAATTTCACTAAAAAAAACAAATGATTTTGTGAAATTCTTATTATTTTATAAAAAATATCACTTATTACATCCTAATAGCCGAGTTATACAACACTTTTACAGCTACTCGAGTGTCATTGCCAACATGAAGTTCCAAATACCACTTCCAGTATCGAATACCCAAGAATTAGTACGAAATGCATGTAATTCAATCACATATATACCTGAGGTGCCAACCTGGATGGCCTTGATCTTCTTAAGTTCCTCTAGGTATTTGGGACAGTTGCGCTTCCAGTGTCCCTTTTCATTGTAGTGAAAGCAATCAGAGTCAGCAGCGGGCTTGGGTTTAGGAGTTGGGTTAGTAGAAGGAGGTTTCCCTTTACCCTTTCCTTTGCCCTTGTCTTTCTTGGCAGCTTTGTCTTTCCCCTTACCGGTATTATTACCGGTTTTCTTCTTGGAGATTTGACCTTCACAGATCATCAACACTTGATTGTTCCCAGATTTCTTGATGATTGCCTCAACATTTTTTTAGCATGTTATGAAGCTCATTGATGCTCCTCTCCCAGTCATTCATTGTGAAGTTCATCACAAATTGGTTGAATGATTTAGGCAATGAGGCTAGGATCACATCAGTCGCTAGCTCATCCCCAAATGGGAATCCGAGACGGGCAAGTTGCTCAACATAAGCTTTCATTTTAAGTACATGTGCACTCACAGAAGATCCCTCAACCATCTTGCAACCAATGAAAGCATTCAAGGTCTCAAACCTCTCTTGCTTAGCCTGAACTTGAAATATGACTCTAAATTGTTCAATCATTTCAAATGCTTCATGAAACTCAAAAGTTTTCTGTAGTTCAGGAGTCATAGTTGCAAGCATAATGCAAGCCACTTCGGTCGAATCATTAACATGTTTCGACCGAGCATCTTTCAATGCTTTGGCAACATTGGCCAAGAGCTCTTCCGGGATAGGTTCATCAAGGACATAGTCCTTTTTCTCAAGCTTGAGGACAATTCTTAGTTGTCTGAACCAATCAAGAAAGTTGGGTCCGCTTAGTTTTTCTTTTTCGATGATGGATCGGATGGTCAGTGATGAGGTGGTTACAGTTGGGGTAGTCATCTACAAAATAATAAGATTCATTTTAATATATTTGATATAACCTCTTTTCAAAAATAATTACCCTTCAAATTAAATTTTGAAAAACTAAGATCCACATCACCCAAAATAACTTGAGGCGATGACCCACTGCACAAGTGATTTTGTTGATCGGTAGATTACGATAACCAATTACAACTCTTATGTAATTCTTAGATTTATGGGATCCAAAAACATTACTTTGTTTTTAATGGCATGTTCATCCCATCTATGCCTCAAAACTCTTATGCTTAGGTGACATTTATCACATAAGAAATTGATCAAATCATCAATTTAAAAAATATGTGAGTTATATTTCACAAATGGTTAGGTGATCTTTATCTCATAAGCAAATACAAAACACATTGACTATTTTTGACAACTCAAATGAATAAGGTGACCCTAAAATCCACATGAATTGCACAAAAATCCCAAGTGATTTTTAAGTGGATTGCATAGATTTGAAGTTTTGTAAGTAAGAGATTTTATCAATGTTTTATTATTCTAGCATTTTAAAACATTTTGTATCATGAATATTTCATGCATAAAATATTTCATGGTACATTTAAAGTGTTCCAAAAATCATAAAGTTGAATTTATTTTATATACAATTTTACCAGTTAAAATTTATATTCAATTTTAATTCGACGTTATACGGATTGGAACCGGTTTCTAACTTTGTTAATAAAACAACATTTTATTATTGAGTTATGGAGTTTAGATTAAGTTTAAAAAAATATTTTAAACTTTTTTATATCTTTAAAAGTTTGGCTATTTTAGAGTTTTAAAAAAATTCAAAACTCTTTAAAAAAAACTCAATATTTGACATCTTATGTTGAAATTTTCAGATAAAACTCTAAACCCCAAGTTTGATGTTATTTTTTGTGAAAATGTATTAGCATAACAAACATATTTTCATATATACAACATTTTACAACAACCAAAATAGCCATCACATGCATGCATTTTAAAGTGTATAAACAAAGCTATTTTTCTAGTAATATTTATTGTGAGCCATCACAACCGACACAGTTTCATATACACCATTACAAGGTAATGCTTTAAAATAAAGAACATCATTATAAAAAGCATTAATACCACCACATTCATTATGAAATGAAAAAGTAAATCATTGTTTGTACAAACCATGAAAAGAAATAATATTTCTCGTCATTTCAGACGGGTAACAACATTTATTCAAATCTAATATTAATCCACTACTAAGCAATAAAGAATAAACTCCAATCTTGGTGACAGGTGAAACTTTCCTATTCCCCATGATCAAGTTTATCTTCCCATGCTCTACGTCCTCACTTCTTTTTAGGCCCTGCAAATCAGAACAAATGTGAATTCCACACCCTGTATCAAGGACCCAAGAATTAGTATGTAGTGAGTTATTAGACAATATAGTGTAAATACCTGCGTGGGTGGGTTTCACTTTCCCATCCTTAAGATCCTGCAAGTACTTGGGGCAGCTTCGCTTCCAGTGCCCTTTT